CGGGCTCTGCGGATTCACATCTGAGCGTCCCTCCAGTGTCCTCCCGGCTCCTCCTTCCCAGCGGCCTGAGAGGAGAGCGGGGCCCAGCTGGCCGCAGCCTGACCAGAGCGGGAGACCGGCCCCGCTCTTTAGCCACAGCAGGACAGCGAAGGGGGCCGACAGCCGTGGCTCAGACCCGGAGCCCCTTCCTGGCCGCAGGGTGACCTCCCGGAGCTGCTCCGCCCTCTGCGCTCAGGAAGCGGAGACGAAGGTCCGTTCCCACGTTCCGAACCCCGACCTGCTGGGAGGACGGGAGCGGGCCGGGACACCTGGAGCTCCGCCCTGGGCTGGCTGCAGGGCCAGCCTCCTCCCCCCGGGCACGACCCCCCTCCAGAGGGGGTGAGAGGCGGCTCAGCTGTGAGAAACGGGCGGCAGCCATCACACCCTCGGTCATCTTACTGTCGCCTAGGTGTAGGGAGACTGGTCCTCGTGCTCTGCAGTTACTGTGCGTGTACACGTCCCCATTTGAAGGAAGGGGCCATTTCTGTGTATGTCTCCCCATTTAACTCTTACACAGCCTGTGAGGGAGGTGACAGGGCTCCCGTTTTACAAGTGAGGGGTCCCTGGGGCCAGGTGAGCGCCAGGGCGCAGCTGGGAGGCTGAGCAAGCTCCTGGCCTCTGGCAGGCCACCCGGGGCCCCGGCCGGCTGGCGCAGCACAGGCCGTCTCTGCGCGGAAGGAGCGCAGCAGCGAGCGTGCCTGTCCCTGTGCCGACTCCACAGTCCCCCGTGGGTTAAAAACACGCAAACGGGGCCTGTCTCCCTCCTTCACTGTAAGAGTTCGTGCTCCAGGCTGGGAAGAGTGACAGAGGAAGGCAGAGTCTTCAAGAAGTTGTTTCGCAGCCTTTCCCGCTTTGGCAAATTGTTCTTGGCAAGAAGCGGGAGTGAGGCCCAGGTGACTTAGCTCTGCCTGAGAAAGCCTGGCCGGCCCCACCCCAAGCTGGGAAAAGGCCAACACCCTTCCTCAAGATCCCACCACCGGGAAGGAAGTAGCCGAGGTGTACCCGCAATGTTAACACGAACCCACAAAATGATGACAAATGTCACAGTGATATTTAAGAGTTTAGTAAGGAAACCAGGACAGGAAAGATCTTAAAACAAACCACACAGGAAGCTTGTGACAAGTCTCAAGTTTTTTATTTTCAGAACAGAGGCTGGTTATATTTTTAAAAAGAGAAGGAAGAAAAAAACATGATAAATGCTAGCATGGTGCACTTCCCATCTTCCAGGCTCTGCCTGCCAGCTCGCTCTCTTCCACAAAAACATGTGCAGTAGGCAGCGGGGCACGTCTGTCGGAACTGTCCTGAGAGAGGCTCCAGTCCAAGCCCTCTTTAAACCAGATCAGGAGTCAGGGGCTGAGACACAGGACCTGCCCGATGTTAGAGGCAGGCGGCCCCGGATCCGACCCCAGGTTCTTCTCCGTGACCCGCACTGTGGATGCAGGCCTGGGGACAGTGCACATCCTGTCTGCTGGACCCACAGGCAGCATCTCCGGTCTGACCCACACTACAGATGCCCCTAGAAAGCCAGAAAAATGAAGCTTTCGGGGCATTTCTTGTTGTGAATGGGGCAAGGGAAGTAAGTAAAAGGGTTCAAGAAAAACACACCAGAAGGGAGGGGCTGACCCCTGAGGACAAGTGCTGGTACCAAGTGTCAGAAGGACGTGCATCCAGGGGCCAGTGGCCTGGCCTCTGCCAGATTCAGCCGGTGCCATCAGTCTCTCGATGTACTGGGGAAGTGGCAGCTCATCGGAACCTGTGCCAGCCTCCCCCCAAGAAAGCTCGACAGCCTTGAGATTTCACAGCCGGTCACTCAGTAGGGAGACCACCACCCAAACAGTAGAAAGAGCGAGGGGCGAGGGCCGGGCGGGGGCCTGCCATGGCTCAGACACAGTCCTTCTCAGTCACTGAGATCAGGTAGCAGAGAAACAGCAAAGCTGGAGAGAGGACATGGGGACAGAGGGAGCGGCTCCTGCCCCCTAGGGTCTGGGCCCCAGAGCTTTGACCACATGGAATTCAAAGGGAAAGAAGAGGAGTCCTGGGGGGAGGAGAGAAGGCAGAAAACACACAATTAGTTGCAAAATCCCACCAGCTAACACTGGGCCTGTCGGTACGGAGAGGAGGGCTGGGAGCAGGGACAGCACTGAGGGCAGCTTTGTCCTCCTTGCCCTCAGCCCTCCTGTGTCTCCTCTTCTGTCAACAAGCCCCCAGAAGGTGGGAGAGCCGGGCCCCAAGCAAAAAACTGAGGCCCAGAAAGCAAAAGTGGTGTGTCACTCACAGCTTGTGGGTGACAGAGTCAAAGCCACAACCCAAGACATCTGGCTCTTTGTCCACGGTTTACCGCACCACACAAAGCTGCCCAGGCACAGAACGGGGGAGAAACATGGATTCTGACGACCCCCACCCCTGCCTGTTTCGGGGCGGTGAGGAAGAGAGTGAGTACCCCTAGCCTTGCTCCCAGCTCTCCTCCCACACTCCCACCGCCCCGCCGCCAAGATGCCGAGACTGAGGTCCCACATCAAGACTCCACATGGGCTACCCCTGGATGTCACCTGTCATCAGCCTTGACGGGAGGCACACCAGGGAGGGGGCTGGGCTGGGGAGGGCTTGCCAACCCCACCCCACGCAGCCTGCTTTTTCCCTAGAAACTCTCAAGACCAGAGCAGAGGACAAGGTCACCCTTTCTGATCTACACCAAGCTTCCAGGGGAAGAACAGATGGGGAGCTGAATTTCCTTCTCTCAGGCCCATGGGAGGCCCACCGTCACATCTGTCCAGGAACCCCTCCAAAACTATTCTTCTGAGCCAAGATCTGGCCTAGCCAGCAACAAACTCCAGGTCGGACAGAAGCTGTGGGTGCAGAGGGAGGGAGCGAGGGAGGCAGCGGACGGCTCACGCTCCAGACCCTGTAATAAGTAACACTGGCACCAAACCCAGCTGGGTCTGGTGGCCACGGTGAACGCAGCTTCTGAGTACTTGTCATTTTTGCAAGTGGCATCAGTGCGTGATGCCACTAAAGTGGACAGCATGGAGGTAGAAATGCTCACTCACCCAAGAACGGGTGCAGTTTGGTCCTTAGAGTGTGGCCCCTCCCCTCCCCCAGCCGAGAGGAGAGGAGCCGGACTGAGGAAGGTCCTGGGAGGAGGGCAGCCAGGCAGCCCCCAGGAGCCCAGCTCTTTCTGGGAATTCATGGCCACTGATTCAGATAGGAATGAGTGTGGTGGGGAGAGCAAGGACTCCCCAGATCTCCTACTGATTGTGAGGGACACAGGAAACAACACACACCCACACCCACACGCACACACGCAGACTTCGCATCTGCCATCTGGAAGAAACGACACACACACGTTGGGGGAACTGTGGATTCTGGGTCAGTTTCAAGGCGTAGGGCAACAGCCACTACCCACAGCCTAAAAGCAGCTGGCAAGTCCAAGCATGTGGGAGGGAGAGCCCTGGCCCAGCACCCCCTGCCTGGACACCCCTTTCCTCCACCCTCCCCCACAGTGGATAGGAATCAAGGTGGAGGTGGGGCACGCAAGATGCAGGGGCACCCAGCCCCTTGGAGGCCAGGGTGAGGGGAGGGCTTGGAGATGAGGACACAGTCAGGGAACCTTCCTCGTCACCGCAGCGCCATCTCCCTCCAGGCAGGTCTGACACAAGGCGTTCAGAAGGGCACACTGGCCCTTGGCCCTATTAACAGTTGCCGCCCCAGACAGAGGCTGATCCAACCTGGTGGGAGAAGGTCAGAAGACGGGGAGTGGGGGTCTCCCATCCCCAAGGAGAGCCCCCCAACCCCTCAATTCTGGGAGGCCACAGCCAGGGTGTTGACATAGCCGTGGGTTCCCCCCTCGTCCTCTGAGACGCAGTGGGCCAGCTGGGGGCCTCCCGGCACCTGCGAGGCAGAGGGCGGAGCGCCGTAGCCCGCCCTGGCTCGACTCGGGGACGCCAGGATCCCCCGGGTGCCAGCAGCCCTCCAGGGCCTCCAGGCCGCGGCAGCCGAGGAAGAAGAGGTTTTTGAGCATGAAGACAGAGAGAGGCTGCTGGTAGCTCACCGCCAGCAGGCAGCGCAGCGCCAGCAGCGGCGCGTCCACCAGGCAGCCGCCCAGCAGGCGC